GATTATTGGTATTATCATTATTATCACTATCATTATTATTATCATTATCATTATGATCATTATTACTATTACCATTACCGATGCTATTATCTTTATCATTATCATCATTGTTATTATCGTAATTACCATTTTTATCATTATCATTGTTATTTTTTCATTATCATTATCATCATTATTATTAACAATATTACAATTATCATTATCAATACTATCTCTTACCATTATTATTACTGGTATTGTAACTGTATCATCATTACTATTATTGTTACTATTATCATCATTGTTATTACCCTTACCATTACTATTATCATTGTCATTACTATTATCATCATCAATATCATTATCATTATCATTGCTATTTTTATCATTATTGTTATTATTATCATCATTATTATTAACTTTACTTTTATCATATCTCATTATTATTATTATCATTATCATTAACATCATCATTATCATCATTATCATAATTAATATCATTATCATCATTATTATAATTAATATAATTATTGTTACTCATTGTTATTAATCGTATTATTAGTATTGTTTGTATTATCATTATCATTATTGTCTTTATCACAATCTTTATTATCATCATCAGTATCGTTATCATCATTATCGTTATTATTAGAATTTCATCATTGTCATCTTTATAACAATCATTACTACCAATGTTATCATTATTTTTAGTATCGATTATTATTATTATAATCATTATCATTATTATCATGGTTATCATTATTATCATGATTATCATTATCATTAGATTATGATTATTATTGCTATTGTTATTATTGCTACTATTACTATTACCACTATCTCTATTATTATTACTATTATTATTACATACATATCTTTATCCTTATTATTTCATTATTATCCTTCATCTTTATTATTGATACTATTATATTATCATCATTGCCCTTTTCATTAATAACTGATGTTATCAACAAAACACTGTAATTTCTGTCAGTTTAATATTCCAAACATTTTACCCAGACGGGAAAAAAGGTAAATTAGGAATAAATGCATTTGATATTGATGAGAACATAATATGGAGATGTATTCAGCTCAACTTCTTGTAATTCTGATGAATATCTGCTAAATCAGGAATGAGTTAACATCCAAAATAACTTCTAAAAGGTTGCACAAACTGGACAGCAAATAACGAAAAGAAAGCAAATGGTACTTTAATTACCTCCGAATCCGCTGTTTGGATGGCATAAAAAGCAGTCAATGAGGAACTGCTTTTCTTCGGGAGTCTCAAGGCCTATGCGCTTGGCTCCATCAGTGCAGATATACTGGTCGACGAAGTTTAGAAGGCCCTCTACCGTGCTGCTGCCTGTCTCCGTCAACACTAGGGGAGTATCAAAAAGGAAAATGTTTGTCTTTGAGCGCTTTCATTTAATTGCTATATCACTTACCAGGTGTCAGTTGCAAATACATTTGTAGGACAGAGGGGGGGGGGATGCTGTCTACATCCGGTGTCTCTTACTTCGCCACTGGTACTTCCGGCCAAAATCATCGTTAGTGCAGGAATCCCCGCACAGGATGCAGTGACCGGCATCCCCGCTGAGCTCCCGGGTCCACAGGAAGGGGTGCGCTGCCCTCGAGGCGTACGCGGTCGAGGCAGGACGCTGGGGCCGAGGATCGCTTTCTGGAGACGTCGAGGGCGCGTCCGGCGCAGTGGGTGGTGGCCCTCGGGTAGTCGAGCTCTCCTCTGGCTCTCTGGTGTCATGTCCTTCGGCGGTGGAAGGACTAGAGCCATTTCCAGTCGTTCTCTTGTTGAGACGCACTCGAAATGTATTGCTAGCGTTCCCAAAGGCACGCGCCTTCGTCCACTGCGTTCTTTCATTTTGCACGAGGCACGACAAAGTCGGCAGGAAAATAACTAGAATTATTACGATATGAGATTTAAATTTCGCTTTCATATTTGACGCCGCACCCGTTTCTGAATGGGGACTATATATGAATGTTTGATTCTTGCAAGGGACTATCCACCTCCCCTAACACACCACACCGTGAAAAACTCGAAACTAAAACACATTTCTACACTCCACATCGCAACACCTCTTACTCAGTAGCTCGCCTCTCCGCGGTCACGCTCGCCCTTTCTTGTTTTGAAATCACTTTCTACAAATAATGCAAAGAAACAACAAACAAAAAATCGATGACACAGAGATCATTACACCGTTCTCTTTTCAGCTCGAGCACGACTCAGCCAGACGTCGACGCGGCGTCTGTCCCGACCTCGGCGTCCTCCACCGCCGACCAGTCGAGAGCAGTCCGCGGGGGCTGCTGTTGTCACGGCGCCTTTTCATTCTGAATATTGCAAAGGAATACCTTGTTTTTCCTTGATCAAAACGAGACTGGCGTGAAACCGGTGAGACAATACTGTTGTTCATTTTTTGGCAATTTATTAAGCGGTATTTTTGGTAGTAAAACCTTATAATATAAAGCGGTGTCTGGTAGTTACTGATAAGCTTTGTGACAGGTATCC